ATGTGGAGAAAAACCCCTCTGCCATGCTCCTGCAGCCTCCGAGCTGGCAGCCCCGCGCTGGTTGGAAAAGCAAAATCAACTGGCAGCAATCGAGCCACACCACAAATAGCCTTATTCATCTCATTTTTTTAATAAAACACAGAAATACGGTAATGACCACTTGTCTGAGTCAGTGAGACTGAGAGCAGGTGAAAGAGAAACGTTGGGAAGAAGGAAAAAGTTGGGACGAGGGTTTAGCTTGAAGAAACGCCTCTAGGGCGGAGGGTGCTTTCTGCCCCTTTGAGAGCCAGCTGGGTGGTCATAGAGGCTGGTGGGTTTGGAGACGGAGGCTGGGTGGGTTTGGAGACGGAGACTGGGTGGGTTTGGAGACGGAGACTGGATGGGTTTGGCGATGAAGGCTGGATGGGTTTGACAATGGAGGCTGGTGGGTTTGGAGATGGAGGATGGGTGGGTTTAGCGATGAAGGCTGGATGGGTTTGGCGATGAAGGCTGGATGGGTTTGACAATGGAGGCTGGTGGGTTTGGAGATGGAGGATGGGTGGGTTTAGCGATGAAGGCTGGATGGGTTTGGCGATGAAGGCTGGATGGGTTTGGTGATGGAGGCTGGATGGGTTTGATGATGGAGGCTGGTGGGTTTGGCGATAGAGGCTGGATGGGTTTGATGATGGAGGCTGGTGGGTTTGGCGATAGAGGCTGGATGGGTTTGGTGATGAGGCTGGATGGGTTTGATGATGGAGGCTGGTGGGTTTGGCGATAGAGGCTGGATGGGTTTGGTGATGGAGGCTGGTGGGTTTGGCAACGGAGGCTGGATGGGTTTGGCAATGGAAGCTGGGTGGGTTTGGTGATGGAGGCTGGGTGGTGGTGGGGGCTGGTGGGTTTGGTGGTGGGTGCTGCCATTGCTCCAAGGACAGTGCTGGGGGAAGAGCAGCCTGATGACAAAGCTCATCCTCCTGCAGACAGGTCTGGAGCAGGGGCCCTTCTCACATGCCAAAATTCAGAAGGAAGAGGCCAGTGCCTGTCCTCAGGCCTCAGCTTTTGAGGTTTCCCTGCAGCCTCCATGTGGGTGCACACAGTAAATACCACAGGCTCTCGGCGAGCTGGTTACCAGATGCGGCTGTTGCTAAAGAGCAGACAAGGGCACTTCCCTCCGGGATTTTAAATCTTGCTACAGAGGAGTGAGAAAGGCTGCGCAAGATGGAAGCAGATGAGAAACTCTTCCCCGCTGTGTTTTTTATCTGGTCTCTGCAGGGTGACCTGCTGGCAGCTCCCTGTGCGGCTGCGGTGGCGTAGCTGGGTGCGCGCGGCAGCACTGTGTCTTGGGTGCTTTGTTTTTTATCTGGTCTCTGCAGGGTGACCTGCTGGCAGCTCCCTGTGCGGCTGCGGTGGCGGAGCTGGGTGCGCGCGGCAGCACTGTGTCTTTGGGTGCTTTGGGAGCAACCTGGAGGTCTGTCCTTCCACCCGAGGTGGGGAGAAGATGCATGTGGACCTTCGGGCAGCCCTTGGCGTGGCACAGGGCGGATGGGCATAGCCGTCCCTTGAGCGTTCGGTGCCTGGCAGGGCAGCTCCCAGCGAGGGCTTGCCTCACTGGGAGTCTGACGGAGCCAGACTCTTTGCAGTGATGCCCAGCAACAGGACAAGGGGCAATGGGCACAAACTGAGACATAAGAGGTTTCAGTTGAATATGAGGAAAACATTCTTTACTTTGAGGGTGACAGAGCACTGGCACAGGCCGCCCAGGGGGGCTGTGGAGTCTCCTTCTCTGGAGATATTCAAAGCCCACCTGGACAATGTCCTGTGTAACATGCTCTAGGAGAACTTGCTTGAGCAGGGGTGGCTGCTCTCCCGTGGTGCCTTCCAACCCTTGCCATTCTTTGATTCTGTGATTCTGTGATCCTGCTCGCCAGGATGGTGACGGTGGCCTTTCTGTCCCGGCCCCGCATCGTGGTGCTAATGGTGTCTGCTGAGAAGGAGCCTGGAGCCCACCAGGTAGGTGCAGGTTGCTTTTGCTGGCTGCATTTTCCTCGCCGCCTCCATCACTCTTGCTGGGTGCCGAGCATATCGGGTGCTGCCGCCAAATAATTTAAATTATTCCTAGTAAGCCTTGAAATCAAATTGCAATAGGGATCTGCTTTTCATCCAGCTGTGCTGCCACACACACACAAAAACACGGAATTATCCTGTGGCTTAAAAACCCGAATGAGGTGCCTTGCCCCAAGCTGCAGACAGCATTGCTCGTGCGGGGGCCGTGCTGCCCACCCTGCCCCAGC